GCATCAATTGCGAGGCGAAAAAATTCAAAAAGAAGTAAAGTATGTTAATCCAGATTCAGTGCATCGTGATTCAATAAATAACGTGGACGAACAACTTGCTACTAATGGAAATTTTCCAAATACTTGTTCGAATTTTCTATGAATAATTCAAAAAGAATTTTTGTGGACGCAGGAAAAAAATTTTAGATATAATTGTATCTAAAATTTTAGATCTAATTTGATCTCATTTTTTCTGTATTATGGGACTGACAAATAAAGATAAATTTTGATCTAAAGATATCTAAAAATAAATAATTATATCTAAATATGTTAAATTATATCTAAGTAGATTTAGTAATATATATTTGGATTTTATCTATTTAGATCTAAAAAGATCTATTCAAATTTTTTTTTCTTTTTAAATATACATTTGGGAATTTTCAATATAACGCTTCTGAGCAAATAAACTCTAAATATTAAAGTTCACACTTTTAAAAAATATGTTAATAATAATTATAAAACTTTATTGAGTTTTGATTTAACTGTTTTAAACAAAATAATTTTGAATGTTCATTCTTCACAATATGAATATTAAATGTAAAGCGTTATATTATTATCAACTTAAGTTTATAATTAAATTATAATAATCATTATTCAAATTTTCTTGTTATTATTTAAATTAAGGTTTAAAAATTTTTAGTCGGGATATTCTACTGTTATAGGGACTATCTAAAAGTGTACTGTATAACTGCTGAAAGTAGTAGTTGTTATGATTCTAAAACAGTAGGAGCATAATTTTTGTTAAGAACTACAATAACTAAGATCAATAATTAAGAATAAATATTTATTGCTCTTGAGCGACTTTCATTTGGGGATGAGTGTTTTTCTTCCGTTTCAACCTGGATGACATCAAAGAATACTAAGGTACCTCAGTATTCTTTGGGACCAGAGAAGAGAGACCGGTATAGAAATCCAGATCTTATGGAAGGTAAAAAATACAGTCAGCATTAGAAGATAAGATCACTTATTAGCAGAGGATTGCATTCTCTTTGTTCTCATTAATTAATTTAATTTTGCTTTTTTTCGTTAATGAACAATTAAAAAATATAAAAAAAATTGCAAAAAAAATATAGTTTATTCAACAGAGAATCCAATTCTCTACAAATAAGTGGCTATAAAAACGGTTACTCAATCTGGGTCCGATTCTTCCCATATTCGGGGATTTCAGAACTTAGAAAAAGTTTCATTGTATTGAAGAGAAACTATTTTCATCATTTTTATGTTTTTCACAATTTTGCTTCAAGCCTCATAACATACCATCTCTGGGCTGCAGAAATTGCTTTCTCTGTTTTCGTCTGTTCCCGGGAGCGTGACAGCCGTCCCCAATAAGATGTCAGTCAAAGGCATTTTTACAATCTTTTAAATTTAAATCTTTAAGGCTGGGCAGAAGTCAGAAAGTTTCCCGGAGTTGACTTTACGCCCTCGCGTTGTGCGGCAAAAGGCCGAAGCTTGACATCAATTGAAATTGAGTAGGTAACAATGAAATGGTTCGAAAAATGGTAATTTTTAGGGATACACTACAAAAAGGGAGCCTATAGGGCACCAAGAAATTTACAAATTTCAGAATAATCTGTTCCGAGCAAGACAGAGCACAAAATATATCTATCTATCTCTGTCTTATTTTTCAGAGAAGACTGCGAGTTCGAACAGTTAACGAGCAAGCACATTCCCCACCCTCTGTTACCAAGCCTGAAGCTTACGATATCTAAACGTAAACAAAGCAAATAAAAATATGCTAGCTCTATAGTCAGAAGGTTCGACAGTTATTTTACCGAACGGTGTTTGATTCCAATTGCGGAAAATTTTTTTTTTTTTTTAATTCAAATTGCATGTAATTGCAATTTTATCATGCCAAAAATGAGTTTTAAATTTCAATTTTTATGTAAAATTATTTTTCAATCAATCGATGACAAATGGGACAATATTTGAACAGGGTCATTAACCTTTTTTTGTACAAATACATTGATAATAGCCTTTTTTAACAACTTATTAACAATAAAAAATAGTTTAAACAATCCGCGGCGAGTTCCGACACTTCACCGGCAAGCTCTACCCCCACTCTCTGTGCCTAAGCCTGCAGCTTATAATTTTCAAGCATCTTTAACATTATTGAAACCATAATAGCTCAGTGGTTAGAACACCAATCTTTTATTTTGCTGGGCAAGGTTCGATCCCAGTCATAGGCAATTGTTTTTTCTTTTTTTTGCTTAAGTGACTTTATATACTTATAAATTAATTCATATATTTGATTAAATTATTCTTCCAATTAATTACGGAGAACAACTTGTTTTTCTGAAAATAAGCTGAGGGTGAGGAACGAGTTACTATGAATTCTCTTTTTTCGAAAGTGTTGTCTTTAGAAGACAATAGGAATTGATTTTGAACTTATATAAACAACCAATTATTGTATTTATATAAAATTTTAATAAAAAAAAAAGGAAAAAAAAAATTGGCTATGACTGGGATCGAACCCTAATCGGTAAAATGAAAACTTGATGTTCTACTCACAGAGCTAGCACATCATCTCTGACATTATGTTTATGTTTATAAATTGTATAATGCAGGCTTGAGTACGAAGGGTAGGGATAGAGTTTGCCGGCGAAGTGCCGGAAATCCCCGTGGATTATTTCAACTACTTCTAAATATTTCTAAATTGCTTAAAAAAAAACTACGTTCATATAGCTATAGTAAAAAAAGTGTTTATAACCCTGTTCATATGTTTTCCGACTCGGCGTCGATAAATTACATGAATAATTAAGAAAAAAAAATCAAATCGTTGTAAACAATTACTTTTGGCATGTTAATATTATAATTACATGCAAATCTAACAAATAAAAAAGAAAAAAAAAACTTTATCATGACTGGAATCGAACCCTGCCTAGCAAAATAAAAGATCGATGCCGTAACCACTGAGCTATTATGGTTCCAATATGTTTGTATATGCTAAAAAATTATAAGCTGCAGGCTTGGGCACAGAGAGGGGGGGTAAAGCTTGCCGGGAAAGTGCCGAAACTCGCCACAGATTGTTTAAACTACTTTTCAATGTTAATAATAATATGATTAACTTGTTAATAACACAACATTGTTAATACATGTAAAGAAGTATAAGTTGTTAAACACAGGCTATTATCAATGTATTTATACAAAAATAAAGTTTATGGCTCTGTTTAAATATTTTCCGACTTAGCGTCAATTAATTCAATGAGTAGAGAGAAAAAAAAATCAAATCGTTATGAAGGATTAATTATGGCATGTCAATATTATAATTACATGCTAATCTAACAAATAAAGTAGAAAAAAAAGTGATTATGACTGGGATCGAACCCTGCCCGGCAAAATAGACCTCTGACGCTCTAACCACATGGCCAGCATAATCTCGGTATTGAGTTTATGTGTATTTGTTTTTACACTACATGCTTGGATACGCCGACTTGGAATTGAGCTTCTTTATTAACATTTATACCTAATAAAAATGATAATAATGGATGAATATTTGTTGAAGTTATTTTCAGGTATTATATTAATTAATGTTAATTGAGTATCATCATTTTTATTTATTCTAACTGCAATAGTCATCAAAGTATAAGGCATTGTGAAGTGATACACTATGTTTACATGACATACATATATTACCCGTACACACTCATACACAAATTACTCGTCAAAATGCAGGGCACCATCAGTTCTGGATACGGATTGAGCATTTTTTCAATATGGATGACTGAGGTCATCTACGAGCATAATGCTGTCACCTATCGGAATTTTTTCAAACTAATTTTTCGGAGAATATCATCTGGAATACAATGTTTCTAATTATTTGTAAATTATTCAATTTTATACTATGAATTGATTTTTTTGACATTCAGACAGATGGCAAGGACTGACGAAAACACGAATTTTGGGCAAAAAACGTATAAAAATAAAATAATTAGTGATTTTTCATCTGAATGATGTGGCCGCCATCTTGGAATTTGAGCGCGGCAAGTCAATTCATAATTTTTTCATTATTCTTTCTAATTTTTTTAATAAAAATATTCACTATATACAAAAAATTGTTGTTCACGTCAGTCCGGCATTGATTCCTCTGTAATTTGGTACCTAATTTTATAGAAATAATCGTAAATTGGCGAAGAAATTAGAAATATCCCAATCCCATGTATTTGGATAGGGGGAATCAGTCGCCTCTCTGACTTCAGCCTAGCCTTAAATGTATAATCCTACTGATTGTCAATCAAATTCTATGATGCCCAGATTTTTTATCTAATGATCATTTTGAAAATAAGCTTTATTCTTTTAATCTTTTAAAATTGGTTTTTTTTTATTTTTAATCATTTAATATTCAATCAAATTATAAAAATTCTTCTTTTTTTAATGTTTATCATTTCGTTGAACAGTCAACTTAAGAAATTAGGACTGGTAAATTATCTTGCGTCGGTATAGTAGAAAAAAATTCAACTAGTGTCACTGTTTTCTGATAGATGACAGTAATTGCACTGTTTTCAATCAAAAATTCAAAATGCTTATACAGAGAAAAGTCTTCTTTCTGACTCATGTAATGTCATGTAATTCCTACTACATAAATAAGTATATTTAGGCTTATAATCTAATGATAATAACATTTTTATCTCAATGTTAACGTAATAACGTAATCCAAGTGGAAAAAATTTGAAAACTAAATTATTAAAAAGTTGAAAAACTTCAAAAATAATGTCTGTCAGTATTGTTCTCTTCTTTCATAAGCATAAACAATTTTCGTGCAACGAAAAAAAAAAGTTTTATTACTTAAGTTTTTATTAAAATAAATTAGTATTTGTAATGAATACCTCAATTTACATGAATTTAAAGATAAATATAATATGAATATAAATTTATTAATAAATTTTAATATAACTCACTAGTCAATTCAATTATTTTAAAATAAAATAATCAGGGTTAATTAAAGAATTCAAAAATCATTCCTGAAGTTATAAGTCTAACTTTTATTTATATTTAAGAAAATTTACATTTGCTGGTATTTCTTTAACTTTGGTTTTCTACACTTCCAAATTATGAGCCACGTTGTCTCAGCTCCCGTCGAATATTTGTGCGTTCAACTACTGCCCACAAATATTCTGACAATGTCATCCTACATATAAATTGATATTATAACAAATTATTTAAATTTAATATAAAATGATTGAATAAATTAAAATCATAATCACTAAGCTAAAGCTGTTTCTGAAGCTGAGAATGATGATGCTGTTTTAAGTGTTGAAGAGGATGATACTGAAGCTCTCCCAGGAGTTGAAAATAATAATTCTGAAGCTCTCCCAGGTGCTGAAAATGATGTTGTAATGATGCAAATAGGTAATAAAAATTCATTTTTCCTGAATTTAATATATGTATACTCTATGACTCTATACCGATTTGATAATAAATTTTTTGAATTAATATTCTAGCAAGAGAGAACAATTCTAAAGGATCAGGGCTGTGGAGAAGTATTGATGGTCTCCACTTTGAAGACGTAGAAATGGAAGAAGACAATGATGAAGAAATCTGCGCTATTTGTTTAATCAATAAAGCAAAAGCCAAATTTTCTAAGTGTCGTCATATATGCTTGTGCCTTAAATGCACATATATGATTGAACACTGTGCAGCTGCGTATGGGCGACGTAACTTGAGCGTAAAGTATAAATGCATAATTTGCAGACAAAAGTCACCGGCAATTGTTCGAGTCATTTTCTAATTATTATTTCTATTCAGAGATAGACTTTAATTTTCATAGTTTATTCTATCCAATTGATTTAAATTAATTCTCAGTTTTTAGTAAAAAATATTCTTATAAATTACTTTCATTACTCTCTAAAATAATAAACAAATGAAAGAATATTAAGTCTTAAGAAAAGTCAATAATAATTATTAAGATTAAAATTACTAGCTAATTATTATGTTCAATGGACGAGTAAAAAAAAATATAAAAATCTACATTTACAGTCTAAAAACCTTAAAGTACAAAAAAAACCTTTCTTAATTTTTCAAAAGCAGTATGTTACTCGTTACATATTGATCAATAATACTATTTATTAGACAGAAATTTATTTTCTTTAACCTCATCTGTGCTACACTTCTTTAGAATATTATATTGTATTATTATGTAACTTATATACACATATAATATATTTTTATTTGAGTAATTAAAAATACTTAATGGAAAAATTACGTTTTTGGGTTAAAACTAATTGTCGTGTAAACTAAATTGAGTAATGATAAAAATTGCATAGGATCTTAATTTTATTTCTCTTCAATATACAATTTATTTGTGTGAAAATTTATTTTGTTTTTTAAAAAATATGTCACTAATGAAAAAAGAGTTTGAGATAAGAATTATATTAAAAAAAAACCTGTTTAAAAAATTTAATTACACGATGGAAGAAACTAACTTTATAATAGCAAGTAATTCAGTAACTTGAATGATTGATGAAACAAAAAAAGGAAATATATTGAAGGAAAATTCAATTTAAAAGTAAAGTATTTTTTTATTATTTTGAATTGTGTAATTGATATTGTAAAGAAATTAACTCAATATAACTTGATGTAGTATATCTCTAACGATGGAAAATATTGATATAAGTAATTGGTTTTAAAGAAAATTATGCTCCATTTCAAGAAGATCAATATAAAATTTATTTTTGGTAAGTAAAGTTTCTATTAAACAGTTCAAAATTCAAAATCATTAAAAAAAAAAATTATTTATCTTTATATTTTAACATTACATTCTTCATATTGAATTAATATTTAATATTAAGAGAATTATTATAAACAATTTGAAGAGCTTTGAGTAAATAAATTGTGGCCATTAATGTTGGTAGTAAATGAGTACATCTTTCCTGAGTTTGAGCGCAACGAACATTAAGGCAATCAATTAAATTATTCAATTTTTTAGAGGAATCCGAAGTAGCTAAGTACGACGGATCTTTCAAACTATTTGTGTTTTTACCAGCTTTTAGAGCAGCGGAAACACCTTCATTTTCTTCCAATTATTTGGCCAAACATGCTGCTTGGTCATCTTTGGGACTGAACGTGATCCTCGACTTTGCTCATATTTATAGAGCTCGATAATGGGGGTCGATGATACTCTTCCCTCTTCAGTGAAAATATCATTTTCCATCAACCTATTTCGAATAGATTTGTTTAAATGACACACGTCATAATTGAAATAGATTTTGTGTCCAGAAATTGCGATGGAAGAGTTTATCTGGGTACCACCTAACAACGCCGCAGCTCGTTGATTAGAAATTCCCTGATCGCAAACTAATGAGCGGACTGTGATTCTGCATTCAAGAAGTTTTTTAATACAGTTTATAATCAACTGCATGAGGTCAGAACCTTTCACAGCTGTGCTGGAAATGAAATAAGCTACAGGCAGCTTCCAGGGAAAACGTAAACCACGTATCATGAACACTAGAGCATACTTCTCTAGCTTACTAGTTCTGCCTAGATCATCAAGATCTTGTAGACCTTCAACAATATCGATTTTTGGATTATAGTCCTACTGTTGTTTTATGCTCATCTTATCCCAAATGAGTACGGCATCGCGTTCTTCGCGGCACATGGTACTTACTTTCAACTTAAGTCGGTCAAACAACGAAGTGTTAAAACCAGTTGAAAAATCCATGTTGTTGATCCAGCTACGGATCGTATTGTTGCAGGGTAATGAGAAACTTTTTTTTCGCGCATGAAATTGTACGATGTTGGGGATACATAGTACAGAGACAGAGCGAACTGTCGCTCGTTTGAGTTCTATTCTTTCTGGGGTTTATTCAAAAACAATAATTGTTCGAAATTCAAAAAAAAAGAAGCAACCTGTACAATTGTTTCAACTGTTACCCGACCCGTGCTTTTGGATCTTTTCAAATTTAAATAACACTTTGAGCTTCCGATAATTTCTTTTTTAATGACGCGATTTCAAGTTCCAAAGATAAAATATGAGCGTCGCAGCGCTCATGGACACTTCTTCGCGTGATAAGACCAGAATTTGAATATAAGAAATTAATAATGTCATCACTATTAGATGATGCACCCGCGATATTGTAATTATTCCCCAAGTTGATATTGAACATTGAGTCTACATTTTCGATATCCCGATTATTTGATGTATTTAATTAATCGGAAGAAACCGTTAAATTAACGGTATTATTGGGGTGATTACTAAGGGATTCTTCAATAGATCTATGATATGAGCTTGATAAATTAGCGTTACCTGTGGAATCTTTAAAATTTCTCGGAACAGTATCCTTCACCAAAAGAGGTCAAGTCGTGTGTGTTTCATACGATGTCGGATCAAAATACTCAGAACACAGCCTCTTGTCATGTAGTTGTTCTGGACTCAATTGCGATAATCCCTGATTACCGCAGCATTCAATCCATTCCGAAGCCCTTAAGAAAACAATAAAACTCAATAAATATCATGACAAAAGATAACGTACAGAAATAAATGTAAAACGAGCAAGCAACGTTCACATAATAAGAAAAAATCAATGCCAAAAATGACTCAAAGAATTCATTACACTTCACATGGTAACGAATTAAGGAGGTTGTTTACGAAAAAAAAAAAGTCCTATAGTTATGAAATTTTAGTATGATGATTATGAGTAATAATTACACCTGTATTTACCAGAAAATTGATTTTGTCTGTTTAGTTTCTGAGAAATTAAAATTCAAAATTGGCTTTTTTAACATTGACTCTTATGGACAGTTCATTAAAATCCTGCATTATTTTATATTTATTATGAATAAAAAAGTTCTACCGCAATAAAAAACTATTCATATTACGTAAAAAACTGTTTTAAAAAGTTATGCAAAATTATAAGAATTTTGCCTGTCTCGTTTGTGAGAAATAAATAAATTAGTAAATAATAAATGATTTTTTCCACTTCTTTCTTATAAACAGTATAGACACGTGGCAACATCGCATTACACACACGAAAAAGATTACTATACATTTACATACGCATACTATCAATGAAGTTTGCTATAGCCATTTTTGTTTTGAATTCGTTTACATTCAAATAAATGTTCTAATCAGCTTCGTTCAATAATTTGAATAAATACATAAATGTACCCAAATGAGATCAGGAAGTGGTTATTAAATAATAATAATATAATACTTTCTACAAATATTATTTTTTAAGATATTAATTTTATTTATGCTTCTAGCACTTATAACTTTTCTATAGAGATATTTTAAATTAAACATTCTTATAATATATTGCTTCATTTAACGTCAATAAATAATTTTTTTATATAATAAAATTAAACTCTAATATCACGAAAAATTATTGCAACGCTTGTTTTAAATGACTTAAAATGTCTATTAAATTATTTTTGGTTCGAATTACTTTTTTTCCATCACGCCCTTCTTTTTTTAACAATTCTATCGTTGTTTGTTTACTTACACAATATGAATCTACTAGATTGGCATAAGAAATAGTTGCGTTTGCCATCCTAGTACGAATAAATTTGGAAATGCAATACTGCAGCGGTTCCAATGACTGAAAATTTTCATGAAATTTTACAGATGCTTGGAAATTTTTTTTGTTAATTAGTATTTCATCAACGTTTAAATCATGTGACACAATATTTTGTAATAATATTACATCGTAAATCGCATCATGTGCTTTCCTTGTACTTAGAGAAAAATTCTTTCCTGCTAAGCTTAACAAACTACAATCAGCACCTGGATATTTATTTCGAAAAAGTTTCATAGTATCTCCAAAACTGTCAACTACTTTTATAAACTCTTCTTGAAGAGATACTTTATTTATAATATTAACTAATCGTGGTCCATCGAAAGAAAAACAATTATGTGCTATTAAAACACACGGTTTGCCGAGATCAGTCAGAAATGTTAATAATTCGTGAAGCACTACGCGAAGAGGCTGTGATGAAACCTTATTGCCATGTAAATATAAATTACAACCTTCATTGGTTAAACCATGTACATTAGACGCTCTTGAAGGGATTACTTGCGTTGGTGTAATGTATTTCTGAAATGATGCATTTCCACATTTTACGGCGATTTGCAATACGTCACAATCTAATTGAAAACCTGATGTTTCCAAGTCAAAAAACACGATTGCCAGTGATTCATGAGAAAAATTGATATCTAATGATAGCTGAAGTAAGTTGGAAGTAAAGGTTTGACTTAGGTTTGAATTAGGTTTGACTTCAACACAGGACGTAGTCAATAAATCAATGTGACTTTGATATGTATCACCTTCTGTACGCTCTTTGGCGTTACGGAGTTGATTACGTTTTTTCTTCAAAAGTTGTCGTCTAGCCTTAAAACTCGGCTGTTTTGCTTTAATGTATCTAAGCTGGAAAGATTTTCTGGATCGTTCAATGTGTTTTGATAAATATGATCCAGGACTTAATTTCATTTTGGTAAAAACATCTTGTACGTATTGTTGACGACAGTTTTTTTGGCTCACTGTGCACGCAAATCTATAGTCCGCTGATTCCGAAGTGCTATAACATATTGCTTTGGGAGCTTTACGGGACATCATTGAGTTCAAGCTCTCATTTGCTTGAGTTGACGCAGCACACGAAAATTTTTCAGCGTTTTGAGCTAACTTATTGAACGTTTCACATATTTTTTTAAACAAAACTTCATTTTTAAAATCTTTGTGGAATAACACAGAATGCTTATAATTTTCAGGGTCCTTTAAATATCCACACCAGTTACCACAATTTTCATGAATGTCAAATGCGTGGTATGGAATGTTTCTAATAGCAGCAGCCATATTCTTGGTATTTCCTTCATTTTGAGCAACAGAATAGGTGTAACAACGATGCAAATAATTTATTGCATCACCCGTCAATCCATTTATATCTTTATTATTTGCAGTTTTGTACAATAAATTTTTAACGCCTTTTGATACGTGATTCCGATCTGACTGTTTTACAACAGTATGATCAGTGGCATTTCTAACTGCACAAATACTAGAACTATCGTTGTCACTAATAAAAACTCCAATTTCAGAATTACTGCTCTTCAAAATTTCACTTTTTGCCGCTAACTGTGCTGCTGCATGAGCCTCCATAGCTTTGGCAGTGCCATGAAAGTTTAGCCGACAATCATGTGAATTTTTAGCATAACCTAACTCACACTTGCGACATTTTCTGCTTGTTGTAATATAATCTATTACGAGGCCGGAAGAAGCACCAATCATTGTAGCGTATCCGTTAAGACTGTCATATTGCAACCTATTCCCTCTTTTACTCCAACCCATATCGAAACATACAAATAAACGGAGTAAAGTATCAGAAGTGATTGATGCAGGATTGAACACTGGAATTGGTAACGGATTTGTTTCTTCCAAACCATTTTCTTCGCGTATTACCGATTCTTCCAAGTGATGAGTTGTTGAAGTAGTTAACTCCATTATTTCAAAATTAGATTTGGTCGTAGCAGTAATTAATGATGATGATGGCAATGAATTTAGCGCACACGTTTTATCACTGTCTGAAGAAGATATTATAATTTCAGAATGTTCTGGGATTTTTATTTCATTTAATATGAATGTTTCCGACTTATCAGATGTTGAAGAAGGATTTACTTCCATCAGTTCAATAGCAGCATCACATTCAGCCGAAATGGTGGGTAAATGAAAACAAGTTTCTTCTTTTTGAGGAACTAAAAAATCACTCCTTCGCAAGTCTTCTGGCCTAAATAAATAAGTCAAAAAATTTCAAGTTATTGAAGAAAAATAAATCAGGATAAAATTGTAAATATTAGGAATAAGATGAAAACAAGTTTTCTATATTAATGTTTTGTATATATTGTATAATAATGTTTTGTATAATAATAGTATAAAATTCTTATTTATAATTCTTGTATTTTAAGAGACTGAAAATACGAAAAAAATTATTCATATATTATATTTTAAGGAAAAATTTTAATTTTCCTCACATCAATTCATTTTTTAGACTTGAAAAAGATACAAAATTCATTCAATAATTATGTTCAGTAATTATGTACATATATATGTATATATGAGTCAATTTCTTTGACCAAAAAACTTACAATTTTTCTTGCAAATTCTCTAAATTTTTAATAGTTAAAGCTCGTTCCAAGGCGACTGCTTTTTTACAGCTTTCCTTTGCAATAATCTCAACAACAGGCCCAACTTCTCTTTCAAGTTTTTTAAATGTTCTTGATGACATTGTCGGAATGTTCATTGTTTGAAATAAACTAGTGGTTGATGAAAAACCTAATCCAGCGTGCAAAGTACCTAATAACAGTGACAATAAAACACAACATTTCATTATAATACTTAAAAAAAAACCCCATGTTTTCATTCACTTTTTTAATTTAAAGAAATCACTTATGACAATAATACTTATTGGACAATAAATAAGAAAAAAATAAATATCAATTACCCATGGCTAGTTTAGTGTTGACATCAAATACTGGCTGTTTCTGATAATTATCATGTGATTTTCCAGTTGGGATTTTGTTTATACCAAGACACTCACGACAACGTATTAAAAATATTGAACCCAAACCATTTCTATGTTCATTTTCAACGTCATCAAGTGATAGGAGTTGTTTACAGAAAACACAGTGCATATGTTTCCTCATAACCTCATATTCTATAATTCTTCGACCTTCCACTTCATATTTGGCTCTATCACTAATGCTTGATTTACTATTCATTTTACCTCCTTCAACTTGTCTCAATCTTGCTTTGTATTGTTTCTCAGTACAAAGTTTACCTTTCCAGCGATATTTAGATATTTTGGAAACTTTTTCACTTGACATAATTGCACAGGTTAGATCACTCAACATCAGAGAATACGAAAGCTTGCCAACAGTAGATCCGTAAAAAAAACTTATTGCGATGTTGCCACGTTTGACGCGTTTTAGATTCAATTGAAAAATTAATTATTAAGCCCTTATATATATCATTAGAAGTATTGAATGAACTATATACATAATTATATTAAAAATGAAAATTTGTGATAAATTTTCAATCACTAAAAACTATTTTGAAAAAATAAAGAATTATTGTTATGCGATTGGTAACTACGACCGGACTCTATGTATAAGCATAGGCGTTCCCCTCTCGCTCTGCGCCCCGCAAAGACGTACACAACCTCCTTAAACAGAAACTTAATTCTTTTCATAGCAAAAGACATTTACTTGAATTGACAGCACCTGTGAACCACGAAAACTTGAAACAAGTTACGCGAGCATGTATACAGGTTGATTTATTCCTCATGCTACTTTACCGTTCGAAAGTATGTTCCAATCAAAGTTCTATCATAATTGATATAGCCACTCGTTAGCAGAGGATCAAATTTTCTCTGTTTTTATTAATTTAAAAAAATATAGTTTATTTGATAGAGAACTCAATTCTCTACGAATGAGTGGCTATAAAAACGGTTACTAAATCTGATTCCGATTTTCTTTGCATTTGGGGGTTTGAGAACTTAGAAAAAATTCCAGTAGCATAAGTAAGGGCCCTTAATGATTTTTATATCCTTCTTCAACTAAAAAAAAAACGTTTTAATTGAACTACTATTATAGCAAATATAGCCACTCATTAGCAGAGGATTGAATTCTCTTTGTTCTCATTAATTAATTTAATGCTGAATTCTTTTTCGTTATAAACAATTGAAAAAAAAAAATGCAAAAAAAATATAGTTTATATTTAATTATATAATTCAATTCTCTACAAATGAGTGACTATAAAAACGGTTACTCAATCTGAGTCCGATTCTCTTTATATTTGAGAAACGAGAGCTTGTGTTAAGAATTTAACTGCATTGATATATGTACAATGAGAGTAAGAGAAAACACAAATCTTGTCTTTCCTTTCTCTTAGATTGAGAGGAGTGGCTAAAATAATTTGGAGCAGCGCCATCACCTGTTGGGTTCACAGAAACTCTTATGTTGTGACCTGAGATTACCGACATGTTGACCGAAACTCCGTCCGGATTCTTAACACAGCGTTGGACTTCTATACTGGTCTCTCTCTCTTCTCTGTTTGGGACGGATGTCATGCTCCTTCAATTGATATCGAGCTTCGGCCTTCTACCGCACAACGCGAGGGCGTAAAGTCGACTTCGGGAAATTTTCTGACTTCAGCCCAGCCTTAAACAATATTCCTACTCTCAGTCTCGTCTCTGGTTGCCAGCTAATTGCAAAGCATCGTGATGATAACGATTTTCTATTGATGGCATCGTTTATAGTTTGGCAGAATGAAAACGCAGTAAAGCCCAGTATTATACACAATAAGTATTTCTAAAATAAAAATATATTCCTTTACTGCATCTAAACAATATCAAGATGAGCAAAACTGGAAGGTAAATTAATAATTATGTTTAGAATGTGTCACTTATATGAATAATGATGCATGACGTTTATTTTTTTTCAAGTAATGATAGAACAACAAAAGAAATCAAAGTGACTCTAGAGGCAGCTAAATTTAAAGAGAGCGATTTGAAAAATCTAGTGCAGATTATTTATAGTCAATCCGATCCTAACGATGATATTAGGCTTTTAGAATTGGATAAAAATATGTTGAAATCAATTCAAGAAGGACATCGGTAAATATCTCAATTATTTGTTTATATTTTTTATAACAGGAAAAAACTTAATGCATTGTGCCTTTTTATTAACGCTAAATGATAATATTGACAGGGAATTCATACAAAAAAGTTGATAAACAAGAAATATAATTAAATAATGATCATCAGTTTGTCTTTTAAAGGTCATCAAAATGATCGTGCAGTGTTGTGCACCGATGATCGAACTTACATTATTGAAGAAGCTGAAACATCAAATTCATTGCTGCTTTGTCCGGGCATGAAATTTACCAGTGAAATAACAACAAACAATAATGAAGAAATAACAATTAAACCAATTATAGCTAAAGGGATATTTTATACGTATTTAGAGGTTTGTGATATTTCAAAAATTTTCCTTTTAATAGATATTAATTACTTAGATGATAAATAATTAAATTCAGTTGAAGATGAAATATTTCTTCATATTTATAATAAAATGTTTAATAACTATTGACTTTTAGGAATATTGAATCATTCATCTTCTTTTGTGATTTCCAACATTAGTTTGTTTTTATAGGCTTCACAGTGTAAACCAGAAGTAGGAAAACTTCTCTCGTTATTAGAATCGACGTCTTTCAAAGGACCTGAATATGAAAAACAAATGAATAAACATAATATGTATACGTGGTCTGAACTTTGTTGTGAGATTCAAGCCAGCGATGAAGAATTAAGAGCAGCTATTTCTGAATATATGGTTGTTGAAATGGATGGTAAATATTTTAACAAGTTTCCTATGTGTAATTCGTCTCCAATATTTTCTTTCAATGCTATGTACTAATGAAAAAAATGATTTATTCAGGATTTTACCGGTTAATATCATTCGAGTTTGAAAGTAAAGCTTTGACTATGATGCTTGATTTTATGGAAGAAAACTCATGGTCTCTTAATCAAGTCAACAAAGAAGAAACTTATGAGGCTTTAAAGGAACTCATCCCACGACCAATTTTTGACATGGTTTTTCATAAATATGCTGCGAGAAATGCTGTTAATTCTTTTTTCACATATAATATAGAAAAAGTGTGTAAATTTTTAGCCAAGGTTCTTCTCTCTGGATCTCCAGTAAATGACTTCAAATTGTTCATGGAGGCATGGAGAATGGGTGTTCCGGAAGGTATATTTCTTACATTTGGCTTATCAAAAAGAAATTAAGTACATTTGATTTCTTATAATTTATTATAATAGTTTTATACATTTAGAATATTTTTTATTCTTCAATATTATTTTTCTAGGAATTAATCCGAAGTTGGAATATCTACATGGTATAGCTGTGGTAGTATGGAATAACGAAAAAGCGCGAAAAGAAATAGTATCTTTTCCTGAATCAAAGCTTTCGGAGAATATTGCAGATAGATTTAAGGAATTATTTAAAGTTAAAGATAAATGGACTGTTGAGGAAATTTCACCGTACATCGAGTAAGTCATGAGTAATTTACAGCATGTAATTGATTATTTATTAATTTACTAAAGCTTCGCTTCATTAAAGTAAAATATTCGTCATTCTTGTTGTTACAAAAATTTAGTTTTAAACATCTCAACGTGAACTAATCAATAGTTTTAAGATTTTATATGCTAATTAATATCGAGTACATTATAAATAATTGAGAAAATGTGATTTACTTTATATAAATGGATACTTTACTTTTAGTGGGCTTTAATAAATTAAAATTTATGCAATTGATTAAATCACTGTTATCAATCAATTACACAAGAACATTTGATCTCGTTTATCTCTAGAAATTTATCAACGAGTAATCAAAGCGTCGATTTCTTGTTAACTAAGCACACTAGATCTTTAATGATAAATGGCGTAAAGTATTACGGCTCAAAGTATAAATAATTATACTTCGATACAAAATATGAAGTTTATTAACATAAACATAATATCTTTATTCTTTTTTTTTCATCATTTATAAATAAATCAAAGAACTTATAAAAAAATATGTTGGAATTTTTTTTTAAACAAACTTTAACATCTAAATTAACAAACAACTCACGCAAAATATTTTGGGCGCGTGAATTTTTAACAAAGCATGATAATAAACATTAAAAAGTAAACATTTTTTACTAAAGTTATTGATTTATTCCTTTTGGGATATTGTTACGATGTGTCACATTGTTTTAACGATCTTTTGGATTTCTGATTCAAGTGTTCATGTTCTACCATAAATATTTATGTGCTTCTTAATAGATTAAATATTATAGTCAAATGTATTCTGCGAATAATCTAAAATTCGTCGATTTCTAACTCATAAAGTCCTATAATTTGCATGAACTGTAGGATTCTGTTTCTGGCAGTTGGACCTCAAAATTACCATTAACTGAATATTAATCACATTCTCCTTTCCTTTTATCTCGTTAGCCGTCTATTTTATCCAGACGATTACATATTTATTAGGTACTGAATTATTACGCACTTTAAGTTAATTTATATTATTTTCAGCAATCAATAAAAATAATAGCTTTATTAACATGACCAATCAGTAGTTCACATTTTTAATGTTTTTATTATGCAAAAAAAAAACATTAGATACATGAAGATTGGGAGTCATTTTAATTTATTTTTCTCTTATGAGCTTCTGAAAACTATCGTGAAATAATATTCCTTGTAGAACGGTGATTAATTATTTATATTAACAAAGATTTATTATAAAAATTTATTTTTAAATTTTAGAGGATTGTTTTCATTTATTATTGTTTGATAAATATTATTCCAGTGATAACATGAAGTTTATTATTGTAAATAGGAAGTGATAATTTTTTTTTAAATTTCAAAGATTTATTTGAAAGATACATAAAAATTCAATTTATTCAAATATGGATAGTTTGATTAATATCTTTATTTTTTTCAAGTTTTAATTTAAAATACTTTTTGAAAAAGTGTTTGAATAGTTTATTATATAAAAATACAATCAAATAGTGTTGAAGTTAAAAATGTATTTAAATCATATGGCTTCCACCAGAGTATTATCTAGAAATAAATCATGAGCATTTAATGCAGACATCTGTCCACGAAATTCTAGGTTGTATGATGATGAATATAATTACATGGACACATGATTATGTTGCCTAGTGTGGAGAGATTGAGGCGTCTAAGGTGGTGTGAGAGTTGAGGTATTATCATGACGCGGGTTTACATGCGCCTCCCGGGTGCTCGTATTGAATTTAATGGCAGAGTACACGGTTCAGTAGGGACGTGGCCTTCCATCGCACGTACTCATCACCCTGTCGTATAAATCACGGAACGTAGTGGGACTACATATCCCAAACAATCATTTATATAAGGCTCAGTTCATCAGGCAAATGGCCTTCTCAATTATCATACGCTTGTTGTGAATTTCATTATGATGTTGAGCTTTTGTCGATATATATTATTGGGATATTAGTATGGAACATCATTGAGATACACGTCGCGGGTTTAAGCGCCCCTTGTTCTGTGATTAATTAGCAGTTAACGACCTGATCATGGAATACGGAAGGGGTGATATAATTCACGATAATGGAAACCTATCTCATGTAGATATGCCTGGAGAAGGAAACTGATTAATGAACGTCATTAGAGGATTAAAAAATACAGTCTTCAGCAAACTTATCCGGAAGACTTGGAGAAGGTGGAACTCATGAATGGATCTTTCGTTACTAGGTTGTATTTTTTTTTTTCTTCATTTTAACCAAAATATTTAAATTAATTTTCTAAATTAATGTTATTCATTACTGACTTTCAATACGTCTCAGTGTTTTTAGGTAATCGATAAAATATTTTAGCTTCGTCTTTGTGATATGAATGATAAAATTATGATAATTTTCATCTACTTTTCTGGATCTTGGATGTTTATGGGGAAAATTTTCTTCTTCATTTGACTCATTGAAAATTAAAAGGAGTAGATTGACAAAGTAAACTATTTATAGTTTTGTATTCGACTTTTTTTTGCGTTTCTAATTAAAATAATTTTGTTAACTTCCATTATTTAAATCTTTTTAGTGTCGGTCTTTAAAGTGGATTGAAACTAACTTATTGATCTTACAAACATTCACCTTGTTTTCACTTCTCAAACAAAACTTACTGTTAGATATTAAATAACAAAATTTAACGAACAAATATAAATAACAGATCAGAAATGGAAAATGAAATAAAGATGGAAGGAATCCATTTGAGTGTAAGATAAATGAGTATAAAGTTTAATTAATCGTTGAATGCTAATTTTCAGCGGAGGCTAAAACTATAGTTATTTTTGAGCAATACTGTAATTAAAGTGGCAACTTGCAAATGAGTGAAAAGTACCAAAATTGATTGGACTTGTTTCGAGCTAATGAGCACGAAGATGTTGGAACAAGATTTCACGCTGCATCACGATGAGTGAGACTCGGCGATGGAGAAGCGATCAGGCAACTTGACAGCGACTTAAGAGCCACTGCACGTATACAATATCTTGTATATCTATACGTGTAGAAATAGCAATATAGAAGGTAGTAGAACGAGTGAATGTGAATGATGCAGCTATTTGGTTCTTAATACATTTAAGAGGCATCGTGTAATACTGCTAATGCTCTCGACATTTATTATAAAGTCGCTTTCTCTTATCTGCCTGGTTCACGTGCACATTCTAAACGCGCGGTTTCTTTAGATTGTAAATGTCAAACACTCGCTCGCCAATGTAAATTACGATTGTTATCTATCGACTACTTCTTCGTATGTCGCTAGAAATTTATCTTCTTCGTTATAGTAGATGAACCACCAAGCACTTCTACTACTGTCTCCGCTCGTCTGTACTCTGTCTTTCTTCCATTCTTAATGTGCTAAATCTTTATTTAATGTCCTGTTTTAATATTTATAGAATTGTCTTGGCAACCAACTAACACACCAAAAGAACAATTTTTCATTCGTTTCGCGGAAATTGAATTTATATACAAAACTAATGTTTATAAGATTCTTGTACAGTCAACTCCGAAATTATCTTGATGACTTCATAGGTCATTTTATTGGTTCATTTCTTCACTAACTCTTCTTTCATACAACTAATGGAATTAGAGATTGAGTTAATATTTCAATAGAGTCTTCATTTTACGAATAAATTAATTCATCAATTTTAATGACAGACAACTTGTTGATAAAGGGTTCAAATTTCATCAAGAAATTTTGTTTCAGACTGGCCATTTTAATTAATATAATGAAAAGCATCTTACTGCTATGATTTTTTATTATAAAAATTGTTTTAGTTAAATTCAACGAACTTTGATAAATAAATCGAAATTTTTTCTTTTTTTCGTTGTCAATTATGTTTTTTTTCGATTAACTGTATCATCATTAGGCTAATTAAATTGTAAATCTAGATTTTTTAAATCCTCCTTCCAAGTAAGAATCATTGAAAAAATCATTAAATTTAAATTTATGATAAAAAAAGATCAATATATTTACTTTTGATGAATGTTGAATGTGATCAGTATAATGAGAAGAAATAAGAGCGCTACTCTCGCGTGCCAAGAAGTATAGGTAATTTTTTTTTTCCCAAGCTAATTAATGTGATGCACTAATAATGATAATGTCGTGGAAGCGAGTGAACGGATCAAGTTGGATAAATTTAATTTTTTTGTCGGCTGTCGCTGCTGGACCCCCGTATACTGTACAGTTGATCCCTACGTTGGTTCTCTGCAGACTACACGTTTACTTTATCCCTTTCCTTCTTGAGAACTTGAATAATTTATAAAATCTGCACGGGGGTCTAGGGATATGTACGAAAACTTAAAACGAAGCCGACGCGAGACCGCGGACGCTTTTATAATTAGGCTACGAAACGAATTGCGCCTGACATCCATATCGACTACCTAACCCAAACCTAACTAACGAGCCTTCGTTCCATTCGATCGCGCGCGAATAAATCTTCGCTCCGTATCTCTGCCATTATCGTAAATCTTCCGACACCGCCGCCGTTGGAAGTCTGTGCGTGTTAGTTTTTTTTCCCTTTTCCACTTTTTTATTTTTTCAGCTTTTATATTTTTTATTTTTATCTTTCATTCTCCAATTCTTTTGCTCTCTACCCCAGGATAAACCTTTCGTTTAGCTATTTTACATTAATCATAAATTACGACATTATATATTGTAAGACGGATATACTGAGCATTAATCAGCAAATCGTTTAAGTTATGCGCTTGAAATATCTCCCTGACATTTATTCGGATCGGGCCACTATAATACGCTCCGTGTCTCACTAATATAAGCATAATCATTTTTATACGCTTGCCGACATGTATATGTATGTACACCAGACTCTCTGCATTTGTTCAATTTGAGTGAGTGATGTATCCTCATTTTGTCAAGATGCATCATCAGTAGTGTGATATGAGTTGAAATAATTTTTAAATTTTGTTTGTTTATTACTTTTTTCCTAAAAAATATACTACCACATTGTGAGATAAAA